CCCCAAAACCCCAAAACCCCAAAACCCCAAAACCCCAAAACCCCAAAACCCCAAAACCCCGTTTTAATAAACTTAACTTGAAATGGTATCATCAGAAGTAGTGGTGGCTTGGATTTTTTATTTTATTTGATTGGGAGCTTTGGGAAAGAATTATCAGTCCTTCCTCCCATTAGAAGATATGGCTTATTCAACTATTGTAATTACACTTAATTTTGAGATCTGAACTGTCTCCAAGATTCTGGAATCAAGAGCTGCAAACCCCAGAGATCCTCCGCTGTCTAAACTAATAGGTGACTTTTTCCGGACTTTTTATTCAGCCGTATTATGTGAGCTTCTTTTGACTGAGACTCCAAATTTGATGAAGTTCGTATACCTCATTCCTAGATTTCTCTTAATTGCTTTCATTATCAGGAAGATCCCCGAAGATACTTTTAATAAATTCTATAAAGCAAACAAAATAACAAGGACACTCCTAAATTTGGTATTTGCTTTTATTCTGACTGTGGAATACTTGGAATGCTTGGTTTGGATCGATAACCTTTCTCTATCGGTTACCCTGCTTTATATGTTCTTATCTCAAGCCACATGCGTGGACCAAGTGTATCTAATTGAAGATGTGGTGATGCTCAAATGGAAGAAATTGAGAAAATCATTAAGTCTTGAACCGATGGTTATCAGCTCTTACATCTACCTTGCCTTGAACCTAGTCACAATAGTATTTTATTCGATCGAGCAGATCTTTAAAGGAATGTTGTTAGGGAAAAATTCAGGATACAACACTCATGCACATGTGGAAAAAATTGAAAGCTCAGAAGAAAGCCTTCCTTTGAATCTGCTAGGCTATGATATTAAGCAAATCTCTTTTGCAGCACACTTATTTGTATTTTTCATTGTAACTTGCCATCTGGTCCAAAAATCTAATGGAGAGAAAGGAATTTTGACTACTTTGAAGAATTTAATTCCAAATACGGCATCTAATATTAAAAGAGAAAAGAAGAATTAGCCAGTGATTTAATTATTTAAAGTTTACCACCAGTCAATCTATTTTTGCATTGTCGGGGTTTTGGGGTTTTGGGGTTTTGGGGTTTTGGGGTTTTGGGGTTTTGGGGTTTTGGGG